TGAAAAATAAAAAGTGTTTTATTTTTTGTAGCACAGCTAGAACATAAATATTGTAACAGTGAATAGATTAATTAATATTTTATATTAATTAATATTTAATATAAAATTTAATAATTAAATAATAAATAATTATGAAATCAAATTTTTTATACAAATATTTTAATTAACAAGACAAGACAACAACATTTCATCGACAAGACATGTTTTCCAAATTCGTACCCATGTTTTCAAAATCGTTACCGACGATTGAAAAGATTGTTTATGTCGTTTGCGCGCAACTTCAGGAGTAATTCGCTATATTACAGAGGAAATCGAAGTTGAAGGGATGAAAATTGAATATAAAACGGAGAAGTTAAAGGGAAAAATTAAAATGATAGAAATCCTAGCTAAGCGATCTCGACATTGACATTGTTGCAGCTTTGAAAATAATTGGAGAATGAAATAAGTATTCTTATTAAAATATGGAAAATTATATTTATTATAGCAAATTTACGTTCAGCAATTCAAATGTTTGCGTTAATATTAGAGTAAAATGACCCATAATCAAACCTTAAGGGAAGAAAATTATATGTGTTTTGTTGGTCGGTCTTTCTGATGATTTGATTTTTTAGCGAGTTATAGGTTATTTTAATTTAAATATTTTGCATACCCATAACACGCTTAAAAATTAAAATATCCAAAAAAAATCAACCAACAAAACACAAAGTCTCTTTAAGTGTGATTATAGGTATATTTGCTCTAATATTAAAGCTAACATCACTACACATGGGTGTCCCCAGACATTTTTCTAGGGGGGGGGGGGCAAAATTAATTTAAAAAATAAATTAAAATTTTTTTATACATTTTATTTTTAGTAAATTATTATATTTCGTCATTATTAAAATTATGAATTAAAACATTACTGACATTTATGTATAATGTACAATTAAAACATCACTCAAAAAATACATTAAGATAAAATAGTTCGATTATTATTAATGATAGTTTTCATAGATGCCGTCAGCCGTGTGTTGACATAATATGTTATGGAAACTTAGTAGACCTATTTTTAGAAACTAATTTATCATTTGGAATTTTACCAATTTCTGTGGAAATAACATTATTTCAGGGGGGGGGGGGGGAAAGTGCCCCCCCCCCCCCCCCCCTGGGGACGCCCATGTCACTACATTTGAATCATTGAATGTAAATTTGCTAACACAACATGTACGTATGTCGGACGGAGACAACACATCGGGTGTGACGTCCTCTTAAGGGGACGGTACACGTAAAGTGAAACGAACACAACGGCCGAGAGAACGCGCTGTTAAGTGTTTTCGTGATCCACAAATGTGACGTTTAAGCCATCCCACTACTCGCAGTCGGCGATGGTCGATTATTGCATTCAGTCGGGAGTGATATTCATTATTTTCTGAAACTTCGTCTATGACAGTTCGGGCAATAGCCGCACTAATATTTTTAATATCAACTGCGCGTACCTGCTCGATTTGTATTTATCGCAATGTACATAATAGATATCTCTTTTTATTTATATATATATATATACGAGTATACTTAGTAAATAGAACTTAATAAATAATGATAACTCAAGCACCAAATACATTTTTTATCATGTTAATTTGTGAGGAAATGTGTAAGTTAATAAGTTCAGTTTATTTGATCTATAACTGTATCAACTGTTATCATTTTAATTATATATCAAAGGAGGGCATAATATTTTGATTGTTACGTCTTTGGTAATTCTAACTTAGCTCACATATATCTTTGCTTCAATCAAATACACTGCTGAGATATGATATGCGTGGTCCATTCTTTTACGTGTCTATGGTGTGCTCATCTCGTAGTACTCACCGAGAAGCGTTACGCCAAGAGATCATTTTTGTTTTAACGTTAAACACTGACTTTGTGGTTCGTTTCACGTGTTTTTTCAATCCGTTATTTTTCGCAGTTCAACATTTCCGTCCATCATTTACTTGCTACCCGAAGATTTATTGAAAAAAACCTTTCTTCACATTTCTATCGTTCTTTAATTACACATGTTTGCTTTTCACATTAGGAAGAAAAATATTATTACCCATTGATCAATATAGTTCTATTAAATGATAATATATACGCAGTTGTAAGTATTTCAAACGAGAAAAATATTTTTTCGAGCTTTTACTACCGATATTACCATAGGCATGCACACAGGGGCAGCAAGTTTTGCTCCTACTGCCCCTGAACGGTTTGAATATATTTGTAAGGGCCGAACTGGTCCAACCTGGACCGCCACACCGGTAATGCTTAATAGAAAATAAGTTGGTTATCCAAAAAGTGTATTTTTACCAAGCTAATCTTTTCTGTGTTTAAACTTTAAATAGGCTTTGAAGCTTAAATTTAAGCTTAAAAATGTTAACTTAATACTCATGTATTGGCCGGTAAAAGTATTCGCTGCCCCCAACTTGAAACTCTGCGCACGCCTATGGTTATTACACTCATCTTAATATGATTTAACTACTGATTTATGTTATTTATCAAGAATGTTTACCGTACATTTTCAGAATTATAAATATAGGTGATCACTCAGAAAATTATTTAAAAATGTTTCAATAATTTTGAGCTGTTTTATAACTATTATATTGATAACAATCGAAGCAACCAAAAAAAAAAAAAAAATCCTAGGTACTTATTTTATATTTTTATTATTTAACTGTCTAATCTGTTTAAGTTTGCGTACCAATTTCATATGAACATCAAACGTATGTTTATTAAAATAAATTATTAACTCTCAAGTGCATGCTATCAAGTAATATTATATAACATACATGTAACTCTGGGTTAGTTATAACTTGTTATATTATACTTGTATACGATCAATTGTCCAGTTATAGATATCGCTAGTCGGTTTAGTGTTTGTTTGAAATAAATCGAAAAACAAATCTTTAAATTCTAACTGACGACGCACTGTATTAATTGATAACTTCACACGTTCAATTAGATATTAATAAGATATTAAGTATTGATCTTCTTTGGATCTACCAAGATTCTTGATCATACTAGTTAACCGTTTTTGAATGAGAGTCTTTAAAAATTCCCAAAACGAATATATCTTCGTTTAAATTCTGTTAGTTGTTGGCTTTTCGTCATTGAAATCCTGTTGTGAACACAAAATAAAGTAGGTACATAAAAAATTTTTACACAAAACATGTCATTTTCAATTGCATTGGGTCGTTGTCGCTGTAAAAACATTGTTTTTCATTCTACGCGATACGGAAAATGTTGGACGAACTAACATAAGTAAGAAAAAACGGCCAGGAAAACGAGCTGCTAATCAAAACTTAACTAACTAATCGTATTGATGCATTAGATTCGTTATTCTTTATTCTTACTGTTTCATTCATAATGATTGTGATTATTTGAGAGAAAAAAAACGACTATTAAGTCATTTTTAATGCCGTCTAAATTGGCGAATTCGATTCTTATCGATTTTCTGCTCGTCGGATAAATATCGTCATCAACTTAAAAAACGTTATTGCTTTAGTATGAGCGCATTGCACGTTATCGTATGTGGTTTACTAACGGGTGTGTTAAAAGATAATGTAATAAATACAATTAAAATCAAAAACTCTTATTAAAATGTTTATTACATAAACTAATGATAATAACAAAGTATGCTATAGGAACCTTAACTCACTACAGCCATCTATGTAAACGTATACGTACATCATGTGTAAACGTACACTCACACACATCAACACATGTACATACGCATTTCTTAATACAATAATATTGCGGTTAATGAAATAACCGTTAACGAACAATAATAATAATAATAATAATAATAATGATAATGTTAATGATAATAATAATATTTTAAGTAAATGGATTTCAGTCAAATCAAAAGTGCTCTGAACTGTTTACACGATAACATAATATATTATTCTTATAATAATATTGCAATCATGCGGAGATATGTGAAACGTTTTCGCGTATTATGCAATAATGGTATATCATATTTTATTTTCAATGCGGGTGCAAAATCAGCTCGACTCCAATACGCATAGAAAGGGGTTCTAATCACGTGAACGATGAGTATAGGCGATGCATGTATGGTAAAAGTGTTCAAAACCGTCATTTTTGGTCCATGTGTTTAGGTTTTTTTTTTAATTTTTTATTTTTCAACCGTACTCGAAACAATTGAACGTGCTCGTGCAGGCGAGTATTTAAAAATACATTTGTACATTAAACGGACTGAAAATTGTACAAAAATTGCACGCGTGTACTCGTATAATAATAATAATAATAATAAAAATAATAATAATAATAATAATAATATTAATAATAATAATGATGATAATGATAATAATCACAATAACTTTAACATTTTCGCATAGACTTCAGATTAATTGTGTACCTACTGCACGTACAAAGATATCGGATATTAAATGTATTGGTGTTGTAATACGCTTATATATTTTATGTTAATGTCGTGAAAAACGCTACTGAATTTTAAAAAAAAGTAATAATGGAAAAATAAAGAAATATTTTTGAGATTAAGGGTACGGGCATATGGGATCCGAGTGTAAAGTGTCGAAACGAATTCGAAACGCGTTTATGTTCGATACCGAGTTCTACGTTCGCCATGTGCGACGCAGTCACCGGGACGCGTATCATGATGGATTCTATTCCCGAGAATTCCATCCCCCCACGTCACTTATCCTTCGCAAGCGATATCCAGAGGTATGCAAATAATGTATACATCATTAATACAGTTATTATTCGTGTCCCCGTTCTCTCCGAGCACACACCACTGCTAAGGAAACGCGAAGTACAAGAAAAAATACACACACATACATATATATATATATATAAATTTATACCTAACCTAACCCAACAAAACTTATTACCTTTGCAATTGGAACGTGATTCGTGAAAATTCTCGTGTTCGTCGAGCTCGTGTTTTATTTTTGGACGTTATTAGCGTATTTTTTAAAATTGTTATTTCATGTAGATGATATTTATATATGTATATGTATATGATGCTATAATAATATAAAAACGCGTTTAAACGATAACGGTAATTTATTGTATTGAATATTATCGTGACGACAAGCTACACAATAGAATATTGTTACGATAGTAGTTATAGTAAATAATATTATAATAGCGGGTGTTTCATTCAATGGAAAGTTTTTTACACCTTCTCGCTTAACGAACTAAATAAAAACAAAATGGATTTGAGTACTGGAAAACCTGTAGTGGAAAATTCAAAAGCAATCAGTCCAGAGTCCTCGGGGGAATCCTTAGAATTTTTAATGTTTTTAGGTGCAATTTTTTTTTTTCATTTTTTAACTTTTTACAAACAATATTTTTATGTTACAAGTGTTAAAGTATACTAAATGCCGTTGCTTCTTTTGCTGTTCTCGTGTTGTTATTGTTTTAACGACTACAGCGTGGAGGCGATGACTTCGACGAGGATGACGGTGTCGATGGCGGTTTTTCACATGTATTAATGGAGTTTCCAGTCGTTAGCTACAAGAAAAGAAAGCACTGGATTACACACAGTTCTGTGGAATCAGAAGGATGGCTAGGAAGCGAGGGGCGTGAATTATGTTCGTGACCTAATATCACCGGTTTTGAGGTCGGAAATTAAGGCGTTGTCGGGATGGGCAGGGTTTGCGTACGTATACACGTTGCATTAGGAAATAAAATAATAATACGAAATATTATTTTGTTCGTGTACACTACCTACTATTACTGTACACCAGACAAATGAATTAATAAACCGTGACAAATGGAGGACCTGCAATTAACTTACCCTTGTAGTATACTTCTTTGTGCATGCTTGGGCAGTATTTTTCATCGTCCTGTAAAAAAAAAAAAAACCCGTGTCTATATCACTCGTGGTGGCAGCCATGACGTTAAGACCGCAAATGTTTTCGTACGTTCGGCCACACAATCAATACACACAAACACACACACACACACATCATACTCATATACACTTGACCACTATTCAAGCATACTCACTCTGTATTAAGCTGATTTTTTCTACCCTCTAGTAAATAAACTGCATTTGTTTGAATTATAATGTTGAAAATCCTTCTCGTCTTTAATTGTTTTGCGAAAATATTTTATTTTTCATTATTTTTCGCCATTGTTAGATTGCTATACTTTTACTTTTATTAAATTATAGAAATTAACATTGTTAGTGTTAAATTTTGAAAAATTTCAATTGACAAAAATCTAACATTGAACCGATAAATAACTAGTTATAAGTGAATTTTAAGCTTATAGATGACTAGAATGAATATTTCTACTCGAAATCACTGTAGATTATTATTCCGGCAATCCAAATTTCATTGTTGTATTACTATAAAGTTAACTAGTTCGATATTAGATTTTTATGAATCAACATTTTCGAAAAATAAATGCACTTTACAATTTGTTGCTAGAATCAGTATAATATGTTGTAATCTTAGGAAGAAAAAATGCTTGAAATATAAAGTATTCACGTAAATCTGAACTAGCAAGACGAGTAAGATTTTTTTAAACTAAAGTTTTAAATATACGTAATTGCTTAGAATTAAACCTTAAAGTGAATGTACGTTTAAAAATTCACTTAGTGTTTAATATTAAATATTAATAATTTGCAAATTTCACTATACGATAATTTATTTTTATCATTGTTGTATTTGCCTAACCTCAAAATATCATTTTAGAATCTCATATTGACCATTAACACAACCAACTATAAGAATCGATATTTTATGTTTATTTTTAAATTCACAATCACTATTGCTGCTATTGTAAAATCGTAGATTTCTAAGGTTTTTATTTTTATTCTAAGAAAATTTAATGTGTCGGAACCAATGAAATCGAATCCTATTCACGTACATCTTCCTCATCTATGGGGTGTGGAAAACGCCTTACACATTGTATTGTTCTTGGACTTGACGTGAAAGTTTTGCGTCGGATAGTCCCGTCGTCCGAAGACAAGCAGGCGCATGTATTTTATTTGCATTTTGTCTGACCGTTTGACGTTTCCCAGTTTTACATTTAGACCGTAGACGTGTGTTTACGTAACGAGAATGGACAGTGCACATAATACACGCATGACGAAGACAACGTATTGCACTCGGGGAATTAGTGTAACTGGTAAATCGATCGGACGACTGATAATGTTTCCCAACCAAAAAAGGAAATCAAAGGCGATACGGTTTTCGTGCGCATGTTACGAAATGACCATGAACGATTATTCGAAAACCAATCGACGCCCAAAGTGAACGGTGTTCAACAGATGCGTAAAGCGATTGGAAACCGGTCGGTATTATCACGTTGCGGTTTCTTATTTCTTAGGAGAATAACAATCCGAGTAACGCTTGTTTCGATATTTCTTCGAAGATATTGTTAAGAGTTATTATTTTATTTTAATTTTTCAACAAAACACAAAGATTTAATTGAAATAGAAATGTCCGAAAATATTATTGTATCGTTACGAGTGGTATACCATATAACCGAAAACAGAATTCGACCATCTTCTTTCTTCATTTCGATCATCTTAGGAGATATCGCAATGGGTTCGTGGAACACCACGTGCACCCACGGATCCCACGTGAAAATGGTTTTCATTTTAAACGGTCGTTGGTTGTATTAATAAAACAATTAATCTGTCGTACTACAAAATGTTTCAGAACATAGTAATGCTACGCCTACACAACAGTCCATTAATGGATGTGATTTACTCTCGAAACGAATTTCAAAAGCATAAATTTGACCGTTTTACCTATTAACATGCATTCATAGCACTGCAGACAAAGATCACCATGAACATACAGTGCTATCTTACTATGACTGTTATTAGAGCACAGTTTTTTTTTTTTTTTTTTCTCTTTCTTATACTGTTGTCGCTCTCTCTTTCTTTCTCTCCATCTCTTTTACTTTATCCATATTATTTCTATAATTTAATATAAATATGTCGGGAGCTGTGGTTTCCGTTGACGTAATCTACGTCTTCGCGTACCACCGACTAGATGCGTGTTCGAATCATTATGATAATTCGTACCATGTTTTGATGTTAATCTATGACCAATGGTGTACAGTCTCGTTTATTCATATGTTTTGTCGTCGTAGATGTGCGTACACCGTACTCGGGCAAACACGCGTGTGTAATAGTTTCTTTGAAATTTGCAAAGCCAAAACATAAGTTTCTGTTATTACGAGTCGTACTCGAGTTGTTCGCAAGAAAACCACTGGGTTGCTGCCGCAATAGTAATAATATTAAATTATACCACCATCTCCTCTTCGACTAACTCTTTCTCTCCGTTCGGAGAATCCTTATTCACTAATCTTCGTCCCTTCTGTTACCAAACAACCGATCATCTTTTCAACTCTCTATCATTTTCTTCACCTTATATTCTGGCTATCTGATAAAAACAGTAATTTGATTTTATGTCTCCTAACTTTGTGTTAATCCATACACTTATTATATTATTTTTTTGTATAATGTTTTTATGAATAAAGGTACTTAAATATAAAAAAATTTAAATAATTATAATAATATAGAAATAAATAAAAGTATAAATGTAGTGAATTACCTTTCTTAAATTGAAATCGATATTAGTGCGCACCAGCCGATTGTGTAAAGGCTGAGGTGGTCGGAAATTGTTGCCCAACGGCGCTATCCCTTGGTTCTTCTTGCTGCCCTGCATGAGGCTTCGCAAACTGTACAACTGCAATGTGCAATACGCAATATATAAAATACATTACGATTTGCAATTGGTTTTCCGTATACGGCCTGGGGCCGCCTATTATTATTATTATTGTGTGCACATTTATGGATTTGTTTATGTGTGTAAGTATGTGTGCGTGTGTGTGTGTATGTTATAACAGTTGACGACCATCACCGGAGGCGTCTGATCGTCGATTGTAGATTAAATATTTTTCTCTTTGTCGTGGGCACCTTGTTTTCATTTAATTTAATTTTTAATACCAGGAGCTGTTTACCCTCACAATTATTGATTGATAGTAATTATAAACAAGTTTTTATTTTTTTTTTTATAAAAATGTATGAATCAGTAATTAATAATTTACGACAAGAAAAATCAATGACTGTATACTATATATATACATATATTTAGCATAAAATAAGAAACAAGAAACACATGGTATATACATGTGTATAATCCAGCGACGGAACGTTTAATGAACAGGTTAAATGTTTAAAATTAACGCGTTGGTATGCATATTAGATTGAAAAATGCAGATAAATTCGAAGCCAAACCATAATGACAAGTAATGGAAGACAAACGCAAAGCGAATTAAAAATATCGGGAACACTTTTGTTGAATCATGTATGTAAATTATCGAAAGATATTTTAAATATCAGTAAACACTATTAATCATATTGTTTATTTCGTTATGTTTTCGGTTTCAAAAAAATTCCAGTAGTAGCACTAACTCGATATACAACAAATTATGTATTAATCTGTTATTTTTGGCGCAATAAAATATCATCGCTATCGCTGAACGTCACATAAATGTACCACCCGACGCGGACCGTATTACGTATGCAAATATTTCTTTATGGACGTTCTGCAGAACAATAATATGCAACCGTTTAAGACTACATCGTTTCCGAAATCATATCAATAGTTGTACATGATATATATCAACCACGTGTGGTACACATATTTCTGAGACAGCCCAGTGATTACAATATTATAACGTAGACTTTTCTGGTGTTGTTCACGTAACTAAAGATATGTGGTTTAAAAACGTTCCGGGAAATCATCCGATCGTACTAAATATGACGTCAATGCAAAAACTAAAACACATTATCATAACGCCAAATATACACGCAGTCCATCCCAAAGGCAATAAGTTTAGGTGCTTCGAATACGTCGAATGATTTATTACAAATAACAAAAAGCAAGTTCGAATTGATTGAGTATGTCCCTCGAGTGGTATCAAAACATGGTCCGTTTAATCCATTTGAAATGTCTGATGAATAACCTTCGAACTTTGTGTTCACCGTAGGAAATCACGAGAAAACTTTTCAATTAAATTCCAAAATCGATGTGTTTATATTTCAAAACTTTGATATTTGATAATTATAATAGAGAAATATATAATTGTACACGTTACACACTCTACCGAAACCATATAATTAAACATTGCATGCTTGGTAATTAGTAAACGTTACGTTTCAGCGGGATCATTTCGATCTCAATACACATGACTAGCATTTCATGATTAAAGATTGGCAAAATATTTTTCCCCTCTAGTATAACTGATATAACTGAGTGATAAGCTGGTGTGACGAATAAGCTTCTTTTTTTTTTTTTATTAACTTGCGTTTGTCTTGATGTAAATTAATTGTTTGAAATCATTGTATGGATTATTATTTTATAACGAAATCAAATTACGCGTAGCTGTGAATACTGAGTTGGGCTTTTTTTCGGGTGTATACTTAGTTAAAAATCAAGCAAAACACAAGCGTAACTTTCAAAACACAGACAGGTATTAAAAAAAAACTACACAAAATTCGATTCTAAGTGGATCCGGCATTAAATTAAAAAAAAAAAAAAACTACTAATTAATTAATTCACCAAATTAAAATATTACCAAAAATGTTGTTTGTTAAATTTGAGCCTGAATTAAAGAAACATTTGAGTCCCCCCTCCTAGAAGTAAGACTAAATACGCCCCTGAATCCTATAGTGTCCACGTCGCACGAGCACGTTTGTGATTAGAAAATCGTCTGAGAACCGTTATTTTTGTTTTTTTTTCCGTTTCGTTTCTACGCTCATCGCATGCGTTGTTGTACATCCGTGTCTTACAAATGTGCACAACACGAGCGCGTAAAATATTACGAAAAAAAAAATAAATAAAAAAGGAAAAATATTCATGTAATTCGGTTGAAAATTAAAACATCGATGCATAAACGTACGGATGACACGTGCTTCCCTCCAAGTCAAATGGGTTCAATCTGATACGAAAACTTACAACACGAAATCGATTTCACCGAACGTGGGTTCGCTTAGCTGTACGTTTTTTTTTTAAATGGAAACGGCACCACGCTTTATCCGGTTATCGTGATCATTATGTGTTTTATGACATTACACTTTTTAATAAGTAACATATTTCTAAAAAACCTCTAATGCCGTTTCATACAGAACTCTTATTTTTTAAACCTTTGGGCGTTTTATGGCGAATAAAACCCCCTTCCGGCCGTGTAGGCCTTTATTAATTGTCTTATTGCTGCTTTTGATCTAACGAATAGAACTACGAATATTTCGAGTAATTTAAAACACTTTTAAAAGTTCAGGCGAGGCGACTAAAATTTTTTCATCTAAAAACTCGAAATATTTCAAAGGGTATTGTATGCATAACAGCTAATAAGACATTAAGTGCACTAGAAATTCGCGATTATTAAACTCGCACCGATACCTGACACTCAAAATAATGGTGCGCGTATAAGTTTCGTTTCAAATTGCAATACACGCGCGCAAACTGCAGTCTACGTTATAAATTGTTTTGCCCACATGTACGCCGTCAAATCTTGTTTTATTAATGTGCGGACGTTTTAATACACGTTCGTATATTTATATTTTAATAATCATAAAAAGAATGACATTTGTGTAGCGGAACAATAAAACATGCAGTAAACACACCAACGCGTGTAAATACGTTTACATCATACATGTATTAATCGAGATACATTTTTTTGTTTCTAAAACCCGTCTGACTGTATGCATCATGAAATGTGCACGAGAATTTTAATAACATGCTCTAATCACAGCGATCGTTTGAGTTCTGACTATGGTTTTTTCGCAGAACTCGCTCTACGCACAAAAGAACGTAGTAGTGCAGTTAACAAGTTTTTCGATTACAAACAATTTTTTTTTTTTTTTTTTTTAATTGAAACTTCTCTTTTACAAATACAATATGCACACACGTGTGCGTGCGTACGCGTAAACAGCACGCGCCCGTTTTGTACCGTTTCCTATTAGTGAAACTATAGTGATTAGCTTTAACGTTCGCAGTTTTATTAATTCGAAATCCAATATTTTACAGCCTTGTCTGTACGGTTACTACAGTTTGTGTTATAATTGTGTATCTATCCGCACTGCGAATTTGCCACACTATTTGTCTGGGCAAATGCGTATTATCACTTAAAAGGACGTAATAATTAAAAAAAATATCACAGACTTGACGATCCATAGATCGACGACTGTACGAGCAACAATACGGTCGCATACATGCAAGTATGGGGCAAGTGATTGTAGATTTATAGAAAAAAATAATCCTATATTTATACGGTTTTTGGCCATATTTAGACGTATTGTGCGTTTAATTGTCTAATTTCGTGTTTTGTGTGTGATTTTGAATAATTTTTTGTTGTTTCTAAATATATATAATACGTTACAGATAATGTTTTTCTCTTTAAAGGAAAAAATCTCTACACTGCTATGGGTAAACGTACACTTATATTTAAATCACTGGTATATCGCGTACTGAAATCATTTTTTGATTAACTTGATCGACTTGATGTGACGTAAAAGCGCATTTACATCGATTCGACGCCAAGTATATCGGTTCAATGCAACAACGTGTGCATCTAAATCTCTTCGAATGGACTCTGAATATTGTACCGTAAACGATTATTATCATATCGGATATAACGGACGGTTATATTGTACATACGATATCTGCATAATAATTATTGTCTTTAGCGATCACGTAAAAGGCTACGACCGTTTCGTGGTGCACTATTGCCGCCGAACGCGATTACAACGAATCGTTTAGGATCACGACTTTCTAGTTTAGAAACACACGGTCTTCTTATCGTAGAATTTTGTAACGTTCGTTCGTCTTGATGCGCCTAGATGTATACATTACGTGCCTACATATACGCATCTACGCATATAACCACTTGCGGATTTCCGCAAAATTCAACTCGGACAGCTGTTCACGCGGAAATTCAAACACTGGATTCGAAAATAATTTGAAAAATATGAAAAAGTTTGGCCAAGTACATAATAGACGACTCCGAATAATTATTATTATGATACTATGCAAAATGAATGGTTAGGCGTTGTTCGGCGTACGACGGAGCGAAATCGTGCCAATTGATTTTTGTCACGGTAAAAAATGTTCGGTTTCAAATATATAGTATACACTGAATAATAGGACGTCGTCTATATTAAGTTCTATAGCTTTTAACTTAAAACTTAAAGATTGAGTACGTTCCATGAGTTACTTAGAACATACGGTAAAATTAAACGACACGTATTGTTTTCTTTTCTTAAAGAGTTCAAAACAAATTAATTATATCATAATATGGTATTAATTTTTCATTTTACGTAATATAAATAAAATGGAAACAATATAAATATTGACGATTAAGAAATTGTTAATTATTTGTAATACACGCCTGATTGAAAATAGTTAAAATTTGATTTATTTTTATCACGATTTTCCGCACATTTTAACAACCAAGCAAATTTTCTGACACATATTGTAAATTGTACTATTACGACAATAGTGTAATAAAACTTGTGTTTAAATACACGTAAAATACTAGCTGACACGCGTCCACATTTCTGGATGTTAAACATTTAAACAAAACACAGCGAATGATAGAATAACAAACAGTGTCACAGCGTGGGCACCAGATTGAATAAGACCAAGGGGCCGACTAAGATAGTGGTAGAATAATCGTGTTAAAG